GAGAAAAACATGCTTTTAACTTTACAGCAAGAAGCAAAACGACAAAGATTACCCATGCCAAGTCCAGAGCGATTAGAAAAGGTAACTTTTTCACATAAGCTAAAATAATCATTACAAGTAAAATGTGTTGTGTAAAATATGCAGCATTTCCAGATCTCTATGCAGTTCCCTGTATAATTTTAATAGGTTTTTCGCTAAAAAAAAAATCAGTTTAAAAAAAACAAAAACCAAAACCCTGCTATACACTTTGCCTAGGGCAATAATATAAAATTTTATATGAAGCCCTTCATCCTGCCTGTCTCTTCACACAGTCTCCCCCCCTCCCTATCTTACAATGCTTTTTTTTTTAACAAGAGCTCACATTTTCTAAATGTGGGGGCTCTAAAACCATTCATTTGGATTTCACAGCAGGTTCTGTTTTTAATTTGTATAGTCTCTCCACTAGTGCTAGGTAGAGCCCTGTCTTGGCCTGTGTCTTTTGCATCCGTCAGTCGCACCATCAGCATTTAGATCTGAACTGCAATGATACTTGCATAGAGGGGAGGTCTTGCAATTAAAAGGCTCATTAGGCCTCTTAGGGTGCTGTACAATACCGGTATGTTAAGCCTCATGTAGCAAAAGGAAATCTTAGAGCCTTGGGATAACTAAATAAGTTGAGTTCCCTCATCAGCAACAGTTTCCCAAATGGTTAAGATGCTGCCTTGGGCAGAAAGCATTCTAATAATCTTCCAAGTTAATGCAAGTACAGACTATGGTAATAAGGTTGCTAGCTAGAAATGCTTTTGATCAGATGCAATGGTCTGGCTGTTTTCTGATCATCTAATAAGATGCCTAGAGTTGCAAACCAGAGTAATTAACAACTCCATAAAAACCTGTGCCAGAACCAGAAAGAACCTTTGCATATATTTCAGCTACTTCCTCCTAAGCAACATCAGCTCTCTGTTTAGACCAGGGGCAGGCAAAATGTGGCCCACCAGACCATTCTATCCGGCCGGCTGGCAAAGCCCTTATCTGAATCCACAGTTTGCCAATGCCCCATCCTCACCCCACTTCCAATTCCAGATAATTGGAATGACTATATAGTGAATAGTTAAATCACTGTTCAAAATGTTGATTCTTTTACTGGCAAAGTAGGAGTTGACTGAGTTTACTGCTTTCATAGTTGTGAGATGATTAATAGTAAAGACCGTTACTACCAATTATAATGTGCTCCTAACATTGCCTAGAAGTTTATGCTCAATTTGAAAACTTTGGTGCCATGGTCTCAGTCTCATGTTGAAATTTGTTCTGTTTTCAGGTAGAAACTTCCATGAAAAGATTAGACGAAGTTGTTGAAGAAAGAGAAACTGCTCTACGGCTTTTACAAACTGGTCAGGAAAAAAGCAAACCTGGGGAATGGAGACACGACTTCTTAGGACGTACCAACTGGTATGGGAAAAAGGAATACTGTACTGTGTACTTGAAACTTTTGGGGAGGGGGGTTCACTACTATAAAAACAGACATTAGCTGAGTACCCTTTTTTTTTATTGGCTTTATCTTTGTGGGAAGAGGATCTTTTTCTTATTATCAAGAACAAAGCATAATTACTATTGAGACGGGAAGGACAATATTTATGTGCTTATGGATCAATGTTTAATGGTTGACAGCTCTCCTGAGTTGTTAACACTACCTAACCTTGTTATAACTTTCTTGCAATTGTACATATATGTGTGCGCGCGCACGTACATTGTTTGGTTCCAGAGTGGTTCCCAAAATTTTTGTACAAATCAGGCCACAAACTAGTCTTCCACTCCCTAGGGCCATCATTCACCCTTACTACATTTTTAACTGAAAGCTGTAATGGAATGTAGGGTCCTGTGCAATCTGCAGACCACTGTTTATGAACCACTGATTTAGACTGTAAACCCTACCCTGTTAGGGGGTCTAGTTACAGCATGGCAGTCCTGTGACAGACGAAACATGGTTCAGGTTCACTGTGAATACAGGCCCAAATTATATAATACCATTCCCAAGTTGTGCTACGCTTTTGGTATTTCCCTACTTACATTGCAAGACTACAAAAAACAAGACTAGAAAGAAGGTCTCTTGGACCAACAAGTCCAGTCCCCTGCATTTGCAGGCAGCTGTTTACCCAAAGATTCATTAAATCACTTTCAAATCCTCACACACAAGCATAGGGCACCAAAGTGGAAATGCCATGAATCCCTGACCACAGGTAAAAGCAAGGAAAACAAGGTCATTGCCAGTGCCCAGCTAACACAGTGACAGAGTAGTAATACTGTAATCCCCCTGCACTGAGGAATGAATACATTGTACTATGTCTCCCACAGTTGTGGAATATACACTGTAGATGGGAAGGTAATATGGAGATGGCTTCACTGCTGTAAATTTTGATTGTTCTGACTTGTTTGTCACCTTTATGGTTGTTTAATTAGAGTACTGGCTATGCTAACCACTGTGCTTATATCTTTATGGTATCAGGTACATACTGCAGCACCAGCAGGAAGCTGGGTGGGGAAGGGAATGGATGCAGGGGGAGTGTGCAGGGGACAGAGAAGGCTGCGCTCTGCCCAGCCTGGCCTTGGCTGCAGCAGAGCAGAGCAGGGCTCAGCCCTCCCTCCTCAGGCTCCCTGTGGCAGCTATCCAGGATCAGTTCACAGGCTGGACACAGACCACAGGCCGTATTTTGGCCACCCCAATCTAACATGTATCAAATGTAACATATCCATGGAATAATAACATTTTTAAATAGTTCTATGATACCATAACTCAAATAGCTTTATCATCTTTAACTAAGATAGAATTGCAAGTATACTAATGAAGGAACTTCCTTATCTTTTAACAAATAATGTAATACGAATGCTGATTGTTGGCACTTATGTAGCCTTTGCCATTTGGTTTAAGGAATTTTGAAAGCATTTTCTACTTTCTCAAAGGGGAAAGTGGGCCACAGGGTGGCCCATACATTCAAGGTCACCTGTTCGACCACTGGCAGTTGAGAACAGAACCTCTATTGCCAGTTCTAAGCTACCGACTATGCCATGTTTTCTTCAGACTGGAACTAAAAAAGCAAGCTTAGTTGCAGTCTGAGGACTAAAATGCAGAAGCTGAAATCCTGTTAATACTGTAACTAACTTTCTTTTTCCTCTCATTGACAGGTATACTCTTAGGGAGTGGCCCATACCTTGGTACTTAAACGCAAGACACAAGAGGAAGAGATTCTTCTACACACCGAATGTGAAGTATTTTATCAGGTAACACACATTTTTTGCTTGCCGCTGTGTTTGCATGTTTTTTACTAAACAGATTTTTTGTGTCCAATCCCTGGTTGTGTTCAGTTACCTCTCTCTATCTTGCAAAGGACAGTCCTGCAATTAACTGCTTTTTGGAGTTTGTGGACTGACTTTTTCTATATAGGATGGAAAAGAGGTGACATTGAACAAAAACGGTTAAGGTCTGATCCTATCAAAAACTTAGTTAAACAAATTGAAATCATGTGAGTAATCTCTTTGAGGTTAATGGAATTACTTACCTCTTCAAAGCTCACATGTCTAAGTGTTCGCAGAATTGAGACCTCAAATTTGCCAAATAACGTTCAGTACAGAATTATTTCTCGGAACAGTTAATTGTGTAAAAAAAAAAAAATACCTGGGATCTTATGCCTTTTCTTGATGTTGTCATCACTTAGCTTCCAGGTCTTCCTTTGTTAAGGCTATTTTCCATTCCCGTCACCCTTTTACATAAAGAAATTCTGTCCGCTTTAGTGTTTAACACTTCTCCACCCAGAGTTCTTTACCAAAAACATTAACAAGTTTGTGCTAGGGATGTGCAGTGTGTTAACCAGCGTAAGTACGAAAAAATTGGGCTAAGAAATACAAGAAAAGTACAACAGGTTTATAAATATATTACATAGAGCAGACACGACCTATTGCAAAAGACTTTCCCCACAGCATGCATGTAACTCAAGTTTACTGTTGTTAGAAGTGTGAAGAAAAGAATTATCCCTGTTTGCATTATAGTTTCTAGCTTCATGCAGTGGTAGCAATCTAAAGACTGCTTTTCACAAAGCATCTGCCACACCTTGGTTCTGTGCACGCAGACTATTCTGATAGAAGGCTTTGACCCCCAAGACATCTCTTCAGTTTCCTCCTTTTATAAAAATCTTCACTTTGGTCATAGCACATATAGCCATAACTTGGACCATTCTGTGATTTTTGTAGAGCAGGTTTCATACAAACTGAATAGTATGGCATTTTGGTTACTTTCAGTGGCACGTTTCCTATCTCAGACAGGCCCTGATGACCCTGAATCACACACATCATTCTGAATATTATCTTAATTAGCATGACTTGCCTGGCATTTCCATGAAAACCACCTGCTTATACTCAGCAGCTCTATACAAACCCTGTGATAATTTGCCTTTTTCACTGCTTCCAATACCGTGTAGATGTTGTGATGTGTTATTAGTTGTAAGTCACTTAATTATAATTTGTTTTGTTCCTTTGCTTCTGTAGTCCCTTTCTATATCATCTGAAAAATTATCCGTCTGAGATATATGCAGTTACATTATTTTTATGTGCAAAGCAAGTGATTTTCTCTTATTATAGAAGTAGGGTCGGAAGGGATCTTGTAGATCTTCAAGTCCGACCCCCTGCCTGGGCAGGAGGAAAACTGGGCTTAAATGACCCCAGCCAGGTAGGCATCGAGCCACTTCTTAAAGACCCCCAGGGTAGGAGCCAACACCAATTCCCTTGAAAGTTGATTCCAGATCCTAGCTGCCCTAACTGTGAAGTGGTTCTTACAGATGTCTAATCTAAACCTAAGATTTTGTAGCTGCTTATTTGTTATAGCTAGGATTTAGAGCAGGGGAAAAAACAGTATAACTGTACTTAGTCACTGAATATTTCTGCTGAAAAATCAGCAATGAGTTAGGACTGCTATTGCTTCAATTAATCGCACAAGCAGTCTTTTGAACATCCTGGGTGCATCTACGCATGCAGTTAATGCATTGTGATAAACTGTGGAGCACTCTGAGCCAGAGTGAACTGCTTGCATCTACATGTACACCTGGGGCAGCAGCAATTTGAACCAGAGCATAGCAGGCTCCAGCTGGCTGAGCTGACTGGGCATCATTTATGCCTCCGGTCACTGTCTACGTATGTGTTTCAGTGCAGTAAAGTACTCCGCTGCAAGTTAGTATATCCCTGAGAGTACTATCCTACAGCAGGGTTAATTAGTTTACTGTGCCCTAATTCCAGCACATGTAGATGATGATGCTTTACTGTGGAGCTAATTAGTCAATTTGGGAGTAAAGCACACATGTAGATGCACCCCTGTTGGGATTTCATTCTTTGCTCTTGGCTTTTGCCTGTTGTTTCTGTAAACCCTTGGTTTTCTCCTTGCTTAGCTAGCTGTTCACTACCCATCAGTTATTTCATTATGTCCTTTGGTGGCTTTGCCAAAAGTTTCATCATTGGCTCCCTATCTTGGACTTCAAAATCTCATACCTCTAGTCAGACTGATGTGGTTCTGTCTGACATCTTTGTTTACTTACACTCTTCCGGCAAAAACTGAACTACTTCACCCTGAATTGCTAGCTTTTAGGACCAGTAATTGTGTGTTCCTTCCCATGCAGTAGACTATCAACCTCAGATCCTGTTGCAACCTTTTCTCTTGCATTCCCTGTTTCTCTTTCATTTTCTCCCAGAAAATATACCTACAGTCCCCCTTCTTATCTGCCCCTATTAGTCATGCAGACCACTTTTTCCCTCTGGCCTGATATGTTTTATTTACAGTTTAAAGTGCTTGCCCTAAATACAAGGAGCTATTTCCTTGTGTTTCATTGTTAAACACTTATTCAGCAATAATGCTTTTCTAGCAGTTACTTTCCATAAACCCTTGCTAAATTTTCCCCCTCCCCTCCTATCCCTTACTACTGTAGACATTTTGCATTCCAAATCAGAAGTGTAGGATCATGTGTTCTGCACATCTGTCTCCAACCTTCTGCTAGAATTTGACAAGAGTCAAGGGGACCTTACCCAGTTATTGTTAGTACTGGAGTTTGCAATCAAATCTACTCTACAAGTCTTTAACCATCCAAGATTAAATTAATCTGGAAAATTGCCCCTTGAGATGTCATTGCTTGGCTTATAATTTGTAGTGCAGATGAGAGAACAGTGTTCAGCATGATTACAGAAGTCATGATAAAGAGCAACTGAGTACCAAGACAAGTGTTAGTCCTTTCACTTTTCTGACCAATCAGTTGTATTTAATAGCAATTCAGAGGAAGCAATTGCTGATAAATAATAGTCAACAGTAAGCATGCTTCTTAAAGTAGATCACTTGTTACTTAGAGAACTTTCCTGTGCATTTTTTAAACTGACACAACCTTCAGATACTTTGTTTTCACCTGAGACTCTTCTGTGTTTTTATTACAGTTGTTCACTCAGCAGCTATTTCTGCTACAGGCCCCTTGCTGTCTCATAGTCTGTAGTCTAATACAGAGGTTGCTATTTCTGTGAATGTACTTAAACCATTTTGGAGTGGTAAAATTGCCCTTCTGATGAACAGCAGTGGGAAAGTGCTAATAAAACATACATGCACATAACATTTTGGGCAGAGGAATGAATCTAGTACTTCCCTGCTAAAGTAGGGCACCTTTCTTCTCTAATGGCAGCTTGTAATAGCTTCAAGTATCAGAATAGCTTAAATCCTGCCCCTGGAGTCATAACAAGCTTGTAGAACAGGCTCATTGATAATACTGTTTTGTTTTTTTCAACTTTTCTTTGCTGTTACCAAGTGAACATCAATAGAAGACAGACTCTCCAAAATAACTAATTCAGATTTTACCTGCATTTGTATCTCAATCTAGTAAGTGCATTAAACTGCACACCTAAATTCTAGTGGTAGGAGCAGTTGTGAAGAAGATGGACAGGAAGAAAGGATGCATTGAGTACTGTGAAAATGTAATAATGTTATTCTCTCTTACAGACTGAGACTGGAAAAAGCATTGCGACAAAAGGCAAGGATGAATGCCTTAAAAAGATCGAAGCAGAAGCTTTTAGAAAAGAAATTCCCTCATCTGGCTGCAAAGCCACAAATTTAACAACATCCTGGGCTTATGCAAGTAACTATGACTAGGAATCTACACTGTTTCATGTGACCAGATATATTATATACTGGTTATAGAAAATGTATATCATGGTGGAGTGCTTAAAGTGGTGTTGGTTTTTTGTTTGTTTTGTTGGGTTTTTTTTTACTGTGGAGCAGAGACAATAAGCCAAAAACCTCGCTCCTTAACCTAAAATTAAATCCTGATCTGGTCAGGTGACCTTCACAAAACTTTTAAAATATGTGACTCAACGCAGCTTGACTCTAAAATAATATATTACTTGTTTCTAGGAAGCTTATTTCAACATTAGTTCTTCTAAAATTGAACTGTTCCTGCTTATTCACCGGTACATGGGCAAATAACAGCCAGACCGTAGTCTACAATTGCCTGTAGTGTATACTTGTCTGTGTTAGCTTTCAAAAAGATGCATCTCGATTTAGTTTCTCGCTCTCAACAGCATCTCTTCACATTAAAACAGAGATCCATTCCTATTTAAGCTACTGGCTCTACTTTGTCACTCCTGCTTAGAACCATAACCTTAAATACCACTTTGCCAGCTAACATCTACGAAGAGAAGACATTTTGCAGAAATAGTCAGTTCTACACCAGGAACGTTTCACACTGTGCACACTTATAGAACAAAAACATGAAATATATCAATTTAAGAACGTTAATGTTTAGGTAGTCCCAATAAGTTTGTATAAGATGAATGTAGATAGCTTTTTCCCCACTGACAAAAGGCAGCCTTTCCATGCAATTGCTAAATGATGGTTTTGCTTAGCTAGAACTGGTGCACAGTTCCAATATTGATACATACTGGATAGAGGTGCACTGACATATCAGATCGGCACCAGTAACAGGAAAATTAACATTATTGGCAATTGGCTTTTTTGGGCAATAATGTTACCAATAAATGCTATGTGCAAGCACATAGCTGCATCGTGTATGCAGCCAGGAATGCAGCATCCTGCTGGGAAGTCTGTGGGGAGGGAGGGCAGATTGAGGTCCCCACAGTGAGGGAAGGAGTGAGGGTAGAGCTGGGGCAGTGGTAAGGAGGGGAGGTAGGCTTGTGTGTACACCCTCAGATTTGTGCACAGGGTGAGGACAGTGTGCCCGCTGTGGTGGGGGGACTGGGCCTGGGCTGTGCTTCAGGCGGGCAGGGGAGGTGCAGGCTCAGCTGTGCTGGGTGGGTGGTGGCAGCAGGCTTGGGGGGGGGCTATGGCCACCCCAAGATTCCCTGTAGCCTCACTGTAGTCACCCCTTCCAGCAGCACTGCCGCCCACCCAGAAGTGGACAACCCACCCTCACCCCACACATTGGGGGGAGGGTACATGGCCCCCTCATGCTTTCTCTGGGGGTACGCACATTGGCAGAGAGCCACATGCTCCCTCCTTCTCGCCTCCCCCCTGTCGACCTGCTTGTGGCTCCATCCCACTCCCAGCTCAGGGGTCCTATTCACCACTCTGCCTGGGTAGCACATGCCCGTGGCTCTGCCCCACTCCCTCCATCCCCATGGGAGTCTCAATCTGCACCCCCATCTGCCAATTTACCGGCAAGATACTGCTCTCCAAGCTGCTGGACTGCATTCCTGTAACTCTGCTCCTGTGTGGCTGGGTAATAATCGGCTATTGGTATCAACCAAGAAGATCTTTATTGGTGCACCCCTGTTGAATGCATCTACTACCCCAAAGAACCGAATTTTGTAGCACCAAACACACTGTAATTTGAGCAGACTAAGCTCATCTAGGTAATTATAAGAACCCTAAAATCCATTACAAATAATTATGTGATTGATTATATTTAAGTTACCTTTGGACTTCTAGAGTGTGTACCTAAGAAATAAAGATTGAGCATGCAGCTTAAAGCGCTACCCCTCTGGAAGTAACAGTTTTGACAGCTAAGAAAGATGGCTAGATTCAGCCTTCCCTCAGTAGCTAGCAACACTGAATTGAGTGAGTAGTTCCAGACAGTGGTTGTATAAGAGAGTTCATTTCCATTTGGGCAAAACTTTTACCAAACAAAACAGTAAGAAAGCTTATTCATCCTCAACTCCAGGATCATTTCATGGCATACAAGAGGTGAGAAATATGAACACCCACTCATTGAAACTTCTTGCATTTAAGTGGAGGTGGCTTAGAATTTAAAGTAGAATCATTGTGTACATAAAGACTGTAGCCTTCCAGGAAACAAGCAACTATACTTAAAAGGACCACCTACAAAGCAGTCAGTCTATAAAGGGGACAGAATCAAACTGGAATCAAGTAACTAAGAAAATACTCTGTAGCACAAAGAACAAACAACAACAACATCTCATCAAAGTAGATAAGAAATCTTAATAGAAAAGATAGCAGGGCAAAATTCTCAAGCAAATTACTGTAGTCATACTGTGGTTTTCTTGTTTTAAGAAAAATTTATCTGCATTGTGTCCCTCCCTCACTATAACTAAAAGGTTGTAAACATTAACAGCTGAAATTAAGACCTCAGTAGTCTACATCCTAATACTTCCTACCATAAAGTCAAGGAGAGGGAACAGACATCTTAATTTTTTCTTTGTCCTTCGCCAAGCTGCAAGACATAATTTCTATTATTTAATTGATGGCAAACATACAGAAGGTTGAAATAAAGTTGTTTCTTTCTGGCTTATTAAATTGATTCTGACATTGTAAAGTTAAGTCTAGTTTTTTTCACCATTTAAACAGTCTGCCAGAACAATTGCTGTTTTGTATGTCATACTTCCAGCTGTAATCAGACACTGGATCCTACCTCATTCTGGGAGAGCTGCTAAGAGAGTGTTCTTGGCAAAGGCACTTGGTCCAAAACAATCCAAACTGATGACAAAGTATGTTGCAGAAGTCATTTGTTGTGTTGGAAAGCTAAGGGGTATGTGTTGGGGAACTAAAGCAGCTCTTCATGTATAATGTAGTGCCTCTTGTATTTCCTGTATGACTTAAAACAGGTTTCAAACATGGCCTATGGAGCTGCTCTGGTCTGCAGGGCACCTGATAGGCCTGCTCTAGAATCCATGGCTTCAAAGCCTTATGTGATATGGGACCCTGCTGGAGCTTGCCCCACAGTTTGGGCATGTGAATTTGACATCCCTGATTTCAGACATTTTGGCCATTAAGTAGCCATCTGGGCTGCTTGCAGATGTTTGGGGGCGGGGGGGAAACCAAGCCCCCAAACACACTTTACCGGAAGAAGCAGCGCATTATTTCTACCCAGCTCTGCAGTGTCTGTATACATCAGGTGCTTCAGTGGGACTTTTTGGCACTTTAGCTAAAGATTCAATCAGCTATTAGGATAAAAGCGCCAAAAAAACCCCACTAAAGCACCCAATCTATGCAGATGTTGGGCGAGCCAGGTCAAAGTGTCTCTTCTGTGCATGTGCTGGGCTTGGTGTGGAAACATGCTGAGTTTAAAGTAAAGTGGTTGGGTTGGGTTTTTTGTTTTGTTTTTTAACGTCTGCAAACGGCCCCAAGTTTTACATTAAAATACCAGTGTAATGTAACAATTGTTTAAGTGCCCAAAAGTTTCAAGTGGACATTCAGTTGTTCAAAGAACAGATGTCTATATTGCATGCATCTATACATGCACATTACTGTGGCATTGACTAATTAGCTCCACAGTAAAGCATCACTGTCTACAAGTGCACCAGTATTAGGGCACAGTAAATTAACTCCGCTGTAAGATAGTACTGTCAGCGGCAGAGTAATTAAGTGCAACAAAATACACTTGTAGATGGTCATGGGCTTGCTGGGGTATAAGGGTGCTAAAGTGCAGGGACTGTCTGGCACAGAGCTCTGCACTTTAGCGCTCTGATGCCCCAGCCAGCCCCACTACTACCTGGAGCCTAGGGTTGACCCCCTGGGGTGTTTTGCCCCAGCTCAAACTGCTGCTGTTCCAGGTGCACATGTAGACACTGCACAGCTGACTCTGGCTTGAATTGCTCCAGAATTTATTGTGTCACAATGTCACGTGTAGACGCACCCACTGTTGTCTTGTTTTCCAAGAGGGAAATTAAAAATCAGTTTCATCATGACAAGGGTGGAGCCTAAACCCAGCATGGAGTTGGGCATGAGCTATAGAAACGCAAGTAAGCAGAAATATTTAGACTTCAAGTAGTCAGTTCTCTGCTTAAGTTCCCAGCTTCTGAAACTGGGAATCCCTTACCTACATCAAAGGCATTCTGCAAATTAATCCTTACAACTCTGAATGAGGAAGTAGGTTGATGACTGTTACCCACGGAAATTAAGTCACTTCTACACAGCCTAAATTTTGGGCATCAACCATTTCATCGTATGGCATTCC